GTCTCCCCAAGCTGCTGCTTCTCTAAAATTAAAGGGCCTAAATTTTGCATCCTTTCCCCCTAGAGGGGTTATCCCAGCTCCTGGAGTACTTTGGTTGTCCTTTTCCATCTCTTCCCATGAAGCTCTGTGATCTCAAATGCCACTTCTCCCATGCAGTCGCGCTAACAGTGCAGAGTGGACACAAGCTGGAAACAATCAGGAAATATTTCAAGCCATTTGCTTTTTCATAACCTTTATTAACTCCCGCATCCCACTCCAAAGAAGCAATTACAACTAAATCTTTGGGAAATGTTCTTCAGCCTATAATGAATGATCATAGTCAAAAGCCAAGAAAGAGGCCAAGAAGAAAGAATGACAAAAACAAGCAGAGTCTCAGAGGATCTGCAGCAAGAAATGAGCTGTCATAACTCATGATAGAGTTCACAGCTTTCTATTCTCCAGCTTGGCAGCATGATGAGGCATAAATCAGAGCTCAAAATCATTTCCCTAATAGAGCTGTAATATCCCTTTAGCTCAAAGATCCAACTGTGCTCAAACGTCAGCTCTAGGAACATAAGGACTGCCATACTGGATCAAGCCAAGGTCCATACAGACAAGGATTCTCATCCCCACAACTCCACACATACACATATCAGTAAGTTTAGAAGCAAGCCATGTTCCAATTACCTGTTTCTGTCCACCATTGTTCTCTCCAGCCAGACAAAATGAGAGCTGTCTATCTGAAAATGTTCAGAATCTATCAGATAGTCCATTTTCTGCACTTGCAGTGTGGGTGCTTTGGACTTCCTGGCAGAGCTTTCTTTTAGTTTCATGTACTTGGGTAGACATCCAATATGAAATGGCACACGCTGCCTGAGATACTGCCCTGCACACCGTTGTGAGTGTACACAGAAATGTTGTTGCTTGTCAGTGACAAATTGCTAACTAATTTTAAACATGGAAGTCAAGTACCGAAATCAAATACAAGTTTGATTTACAAGTAACACAGATTTTGCCAATAAACACAAATTTAATGGAATTTACTGTTGAGATAACATAGAGAAGAAATTAGAAATTAGAGAAGAATTTTGAAGATAAGTGTTAGGACCAAATTGAATCCTACTTTGTCAGCTCCCTGTGCTCCTCCAATTTCCTAGCATTTTCCCAGCAGCCAACATTCACCATTTATTCACTAAAAAAGGATCAACCAGGTGCATTCAAAAACACTTGTCATATAGGCCACCACACAAAACATGGCAGCATGGGAGTCCAGCCAGCCACACCATTTTGCAGGATACTCCATTCCATGTTCCCTCCTGACCCCAGTTTTCAAACTTACCCCACCCCGCCATCCATAACAGCCAATCAGCACCCGGTAGTCACTGGGCATGCTCAGTCTTCACTGCACAGTTTTTCCTCCATTTTTGTTTCCCCACCACCACCAAGCTGAGCCAGCTGGCACTGCCTTTTTTTTTTATACATGAATGTTCCTGTTTTGGCTACATAAGGATCTAGACTGAGGGAAGGTTCTTGCAATGAGGATACTTCTTTGGGTGGGCAGGCAAATTTGGAATTAGGAGACATCGTCATGGGGCTGCTTGCAAAATGGATGCCATGAGAGGGGGTAGGAAGAGGCTTGACCATTCATAAATCAATGCCACTGTGATGACGGCTGGTTGCAAAATGCTCATTTTCCAGAAGGCAAACTGATGAGAGTAAAAGAAAAGTAACTTGGCCAAGAAGCCAAGAATAGGGCAGAAATGGGGATCAACCCTCCAAACCACTCTTTTGTACTCCAGTAAAAAGGACCCTGGGAACAGCACTTTGCTTAGCATCATGCTTTAAAAAATCTTAAAGCAGGAGAGGAGGAAGCTGGTAGATCTGAAGAGAAGTGTCTGTGGGCAGATGTAATATCCATGCATGCTATATCAGGGAGCCCAGGGATATTCATAGCACAAGGATTCTATTTAACACCAAGCTGCTATTGGGCTGTAGCAAGAGTTTCATCATATGTGACTTAAAGCAAAGTTTAGGGCTCGATATGGAAGCTATGATGGGTGCAAAATACCTGAAGAATTTAAAGAAGTTAGTTGCATCTGTGAGGAGACGTCTCCTAGGAGGTGGCAAGAGAAATGGCTAACTGTTAAGTCTCCAGTGCCAAAGCAAAATGTCAAAGCAAAGTCAGATGTTCCTGTCTGAACAGCATTTCTGTATGCCATCTCTTGATAAAACCGTTAGTGGCATTTCTCGGGTAGATTCTGCATAACACTATTTGTGACTAAAGGCATAAAGTCTGACCCAGAAAGTTTCTGGTTCAAACTTTCCCTTAGCTATTAAGTCATGAAATAAACTTATGGTGAAGACTTAAACAAGCACCCTTTTTTCTGCCTTAGCATTTTCAACCTGGTCAAATTTAGAAGCCTGCTGTAAAAATTTCATCTTATTTTTGTTGCCACACTGTTACCTTTGCCACTCTGGAAGAGCCTGCTATGAAGGTAAGGTAGGGGTGCAGATTATCAGGCCCTGGGCCCTCCTGGGGTTCCAATCTGGTTCTCCAGATGGCCAGACTCCCTCCCTTTGATGTACCCTTCCCCACATGCATTGATCTTCTGGTGGGTTCCTCCTTTTATGCAGTTTTTCCCCCATTCAGGAATGTTGAAACTCCTCTCCTAAGGTTTGCTTCCTGACAGGAAGGGCTTCCTTCTTCAGATTGGATTGCAACACCCCTTTCAATCCGAGAACAGGATGCAAATGTTAGCTACACCTGTGCATCACTCTTAACAAGCTCAGAAGAGAACCTCCCACTTTTGCTTAAACGTCCATTCTGACAAAAACAAAAGATAGCAAAACAAAGAGAAGTGCTCCTCTCCCACCCCAGCAATGACCTGATGAACACACGGCACCATCTGCCGTACGATCAAGCGGAGAGCTAGCACAGGGAGATTGGCAACATTCTGCAACTGTTCGCTTCAATGTCACCCACCAGCCACGCAGAGAGAGCAGAGCAGCCAAGGAAACTGATGCCCGGTTCGCTCTGTTGCCTCAGCTCAAGAAAGACATACATCTCACTCTAATTTCAGTCCCATGCCATACATTCATATGTGCATGAATCGAAAGAGCTGACGAGAAAGGGGAGCCAAATTTAGCCTTGAATCCATCCTTTCATTTCAGCGCCAAGTAGCACTGAAGTGCTGATTAGAATAGATATGGTTGGAAGGAAGGCTCCAACACCAGTTTATCAGATATATATGCCAGCTTTCTGCCCAATAATATTCAAGGGCAGCTTTAACAACCTTCCACAGAACCATGGATAGCAACAAACAGAACAGCAGAAAAGCATGCCAATATAAGAAATTATGAGAGAAAAGCAGTGATTAACTGATTCAGTGGCTAGAAAATTGACAGACACACTAGGAGATGAGCACAATGATAGAAAGCGAATGCCACAAGAAATGAGATTGGCCAGAATTTGG